GAAAAGAAAAAACAAAGCAAATAAAAACAAAAGAAGGAGAATCTTGTAGTGGAAGCTGTGGTATGGCCAGCTAAGACACAGTTCACCCTTTAATCTGTTCATCTTTACTTGCAAGTGTTCATTGGTCTTGCTCTGGTTTCTGCTATATCACAGAAAACGGCCTGTCCCTGGGGCTCCTCCTGGATACCCTGTTGTCCTGTGTCATGGAGACTCTGCTGTTTTGTATCTATAGGTTCGTCTCCTTCATATGCTCCAACAGTTCATAAATGAGGTGGATGTTGGGGTGGAACAACTTATAGCCCTGGGCCTGGGCCTGGGTGGTAGCTGGGTTAGTCAGCCAGCCAGCTTTCCCTCATCATCACTATCCAGATGACCTCTCCAGCACTATCTCAGCTAGCTCACTCAATGCAGCCTACAGCAAGGAGCCAAGTCAGCTCTCCTGCTCTCCCGGCCCTCAGATCCAGGTCTGCCTCACTCATATCACCAGGGCCAGCTCCACTCTTTTGCCCAGGCAAGGTATAGGGCCCTCTCTCCTGATTACTCTAAGAGGGTGGTAGGTAGGGGTAGGGTGAGCTCTCATGCTCTCAGGGCTGGCTCACCTGCAACCCCAACAACAGGGTCAGCTCTAGTGTGCTGTCCACGTGGGGTGCAGGGCCTGCTCTCCTGTGTGCTATAGCTGGTGTGGGGCAGGGTGAGTTCTCTCACTCTCGTGAACCCAGGGCCAGCTCTCTTGCCTGTCACAACTAGCAAAGGGGGGAGGGCATCTTTCCCTCACCCATACCACCACATGGCAGACTGGGGTGGGGGTTTGAGGGTCGGCTCTGTTGCTCTCACATCCTCAGGGCTGGCTCACCTGTGACCCCTAACAACAGGGTCAGCTCTAGTGTGTTTCCCAGTTGATGTGTATGCCTACGGTGAGGGGTGGGGGCACTTTTCCCAAGTGCAGGGGAGAGCTCTCCCCTGAGGGGTAGGGCCAGCTTGCCTGTTGCAACATCCAGCGAGGGGCAGGACCACCCATCCCAGAGTCAGTGAAGGGCTGGCTCAGTATAGCATGGTTCCAATGATCTCCATGCTAACACCAGCCATGGATATCACCACAGACCCCAGCTGCAACAGGATCATGGACCCAGCAGCTTGGGCCCAGGCACCACCATGGCCCCAGTGGCAACCAGGCCCCTCAGATCAGGACAGCCCCATCAGCAGCATGCCTACCCCTGCCCCTCCAGGCATCAATGTAGTCCCAAGTGGCTAGCCAGACCCCCCAGGTATCCTTAGAGCCCTCAGTGGCAATTGGAGTCATGTTGTAGAATATTAATTTAAGATGTGTTACATTTGTTTATGCTGTGCAACATTTGTTTAATGATGCAAAGATGTGTTGCACTCTTTTATGTTGCATTTGTTTAACTCTGTGAAACTGTGTTACTGTGCCTGTCTAAAACACCTGATGGTCTAATAAAGAGCTGAACAGTCAAAAGCAAAGCAAGAGAAAGGACAGGCAGGGCTGGCAGGCAGGGAGAAGAAATAGGAGGAGAAATCT